GGCCCCAGTTGGAGAGCTTCCCAGTAGCAGAAGCAGCAAAACTCAGAGAAAAACCTGAAAGAAAAACAACTCTTGTTTTTTCTGTTCACACTTTTGACACAGTGTGTGTGTGTGTGTGTGTATGCGTCCACACTAACCAATTCTCTAACTCTCCAAGCACCAACTGTCCTACAATTCTCATCAGGAAGAAGACAGTGGGCCATCTTTAAAGTGCCAAAAGAGAATAACTACACCCAGAGAAATATATACAGGGGTGAAGGCAAAGTAAAGGTAATTCTCAGATGACGGAAAATGAGGAGAATTGTTAGCACACCTGCTTTATGAGAAATGCTCAAGAAAGCTTTTTAGGTTGAAGGGAAACTTAAGGAATAAAAGAAAAACACAAATAGTAACTGTATTCTCTTAGTTCTTTTAAATACGCAACAATTGAGAGCAAAAATGATAACGGTATCTGGTCAGGTAACTATAATATAAAAGGGGACAGTAAAAGGATCTATGTGGTTTTAAGTCTTCTATATTTTACTTGAACTGATAAAATATTAACTACTAGAGGCACGGGACATGAAATTCATGCATGGGTAGGGGTCCCTAGGCCTGGCCAGCAATCAGGGCCGATTTTTGGGTGATTGGTGGACCCCGCTGGCACCCACCTTGGCCGGCCAGGTGCTGTCTGCTCACTGGCCAGCCCTGCCCCCCTCTTCCTCCTGCTGGTCGCCTCCCTCTGCAGGGCAACTGGCGGGGTAGTCGGGAGGGCTCCTGTTGGCACCCACCTTGTCTGGCCTGGGGCCTGAGGGCAGCTCCTGTATTGAGCATCTGTCCCCTGGTGGTCAGTGTGCATCATAGCGAGCAGTCATTCTGCTGTTTGGTCCATTTGCATATTAGGTTTTTATTATATAGGATTAGAGGCCTGGTGCATGAAATTCGTGCACAGGGGCTTCCCTCAGCTGAGCCTGCACCCTCTCCAATCTGGGACCCCTCGAAGGATGTTTAACTGCTGGTTTAAGCCCGATCCTCTGCGTGCCGGCCTGATCATCCCTGCCGGCCTAGTTGCTCCTAGCTGACCCTGCTGCTGGCCAGGTTGCCCCCAACTGTCCCCTTGCCAGCCTGGTCACCCCTAACTGCCCCCTCTTGTTGGCCTAGTCACTCCTCACTGCCCCCTTTGCCAGCCTAATTGCCCCCAACTGCACCCTTCTACCCCCAGCCTGGCTGCCCCTAACTGCACCCCCAATCCCCCATTGGCCTGGTCATTCCCAACTGCCCTCCCCCCCTCTGCTGACCTGGTCACACCCAACTGCCCCCTCTACTGGCCTGGTTGCCCCCAACTGCTGCTCTCTGCCAGCCTGGGCATCCCTAATGGCTCCCCTGCTGGCCTGGTTGCCCCATGAAGCCTGCTGTTCAGTTGTTTGGTCATCCCTCACTAACCCCCCTGCTGGCCTGGTCATAGGCAGCCATCTTGTGAGGACATGAGGATTCATTTGCATATTACCTCTTTATTATATAGGAGGATAGCCTGGTTGGTATGGCTCAGTGACTGAATGTTGACCTATGAGATTCAATTCCTGGTCAGGCTGTCCTGGGTTGCATGCTCAGTCCCCAGTAGGGGGTATGCAGGAGGCAGCCAGTCAATGATTATCATCAGTTATTTTTTTCTCTCTCTCTCCCCCTTTCCCTTCCTCTCTGAAATCAATAAAAATATGTTTTTTTAAAATGATTAACTACACATATACTATAAACTCTCCTGATTCTGTGTTAATTTCATCATTCTCATCATAAGTCTAAAAGCCTCTATTTGGTACCTATGGCAGCTTCCAAAACTGTCTCTATATAGATGTATGTGTAACTCCATCTTTGTGTGCCCCCTTTTTTCGAATTTCCATGTTCTGAACCTGACCTCGATAGTCTCAGCCAGGACCAAAGCCTTATGGTTAATGATTAGTTGTGTCCTATAAGCTTATACACTATAACCATAGAGATTCCTGTCAGTAAAAGGCCAGAATGGCAGAGCAACTGAGATAAATATCAAAGTAGGTGCTGGTGTCAATTGTAAGCCGTTTTCCATCGTAGGACCATCAGGAGGTATGCTCCCTTTGTCTTGTGGTTCATTAGTAGTTTGGCTATACCATACACATTTACTGTAACCACTGCCTAGCAGCGGTGATCATCTGCACAGGCTGTGGGCACCCTCCACTCTGACCCACTCTTCCTGAAACTTACTCTACAAGTCCTGTTATAATCAGTGGACTTGTTCGCCTCGTTTTCTGGTCTCAAGATACCTTCTCGGTCTGGTGGTCACTGTACCTCCATCCGTTCGGACAGTCTCCAGCTGGGAACTCAGTGCTGGAAGTCCTAAGAAGAGATATCAAGGGCTCATTTACTGGGGTTTAGCTTAGTTTCTGGCTCCAATCCTTAAAGCTTTACAAAGATGCTGGACAAGAGAAGTCCAACTGAATGCTGTCAGCAAGAGGCTCTTGCCTCAGAGCAAATGAGTCACTAGTTGAGCAATCTGTCATCATCCCTTCCCAGATGAACACAAGCCGGGGTGCAGCCTATTTGAGTAGAGATTTAGGTTACAGAAGCATTAGGTCCACTGCAGGTCAGAGTTTGCAAGAGTTACTTTTCAAATTTCATCAACTTTCTAATCATGACCAAACCTATTTCAAAAAAATGCTCAACTTTCTACATAAATGAAAATCAGAATTTTGAATGAAGACTAATTCAGAATAGTTATGTTTTTTTTTTCCTGAAACATTTATGGCCCCAAGTCCAAATAATATCAAGTAGAAATACTGTCCATGCTTTATGATAATGGTTAAATTCCAAGGTTAACTGTAAACAGTCACTTGAATTTCAAAGTCAGATACCCTCTATATGCTTATGGGAGAAAGTCTGGTCTCTATTTTCAGCTCTCAAGTTCTTATTGTAAATTACTACCTGAATCCTGGTATCTGCTCTTCCCTTCCTCTATAGTAACAGAATCCTGATTTTGAGGCAGGTATATGGCTGCCTGAATTGATTAATCCCCCAATCTCCCTTGCAACTAGGGGTGACCTATCATGGGATGGAGTTTTGACGTGTAAGTCTTAAGAGGTGTTATTATGGGGTACCTTTCTAGAACCTTCCTTAAAACACAACGGGCACATTTCTTATGTTTTTTTCTTTGTCCCTTCTTTAATCCATCCTGTCTCTTGGAAAGTGAATGCAGTAGCTAGAGTGTTAGTTTGTCATCTTGACCATGAAGACCGAGAGAAGCCCAGGGTCCTAAAGGCTTTGTGAAACAGATTCATCACATGACCCTGGGTTGCCTGCTTTTGGACTTTTACGTGAGAGAGAATTCCCATGTTGTGCAAGCCAGTCATTTATTTTTTTAAATATATTTTTATTAATTTCAGAGAGGAAGGGAGAGGGAGAGATAGAAACATCAAAGATGAGAGAGAATCACCGATTGGCTGCTTCCTGCACAGCACCTACTGGGGATCAAGCCTGCAACCTGAGCATGTTCCCCAACAGGGAATTGAACCGTGACCTCCTGGTTCGCACTGGCTGGGCTAAACCAGTTGTTTTTGGCTTTTGTTACAGATAGCTGAATTTAGTCCTGATGACTGAAACCAAGAAACACTCTCAAATAAGCCTTAGGAAGAAGTTCCAGGTAAGAAACCATTCCAATCTATACTGTATGTAATGACGCAGTCAGCTGACTGTCTGGAGTCAGGTTACTAAGAGAAAAAGCAACAACCACCAAAAGAGAAGAAACCTTAATGAAGACCCTCAGCGGAGGGCCAGTCTTTGAACACGTTTTATAAAGTTCTGAATGGTTTGGTGGGAAAACGCTGTTTGATGGGCAAGTTAGTCCAGGTAAAGTGCTGGTCCTCAGGTTGGCACAAGGCAGGGTGCTCCATCAGCCATGAAGAGCCACGTTACCACTCAGTCTGTTTCCAGCGTCCTTCCCCGGGGCGGGCGCATGGGCCTGCTGATGTCCCCGCTGCCTTCTAGAAGCTCATCCCCACACTTACTGGTATCACCAGGAAAACACCTAGAAAAGGGGGCTCCTTAGTTCCAGGTTACACAAACCCACGGAAGAAAAACCAGCAGTGGAGGAGGAAATCCACTCTTTATTTACAATCCTTTCTTTACCCACAATTTCCCATACAAACATAAAAACTAAAAAAATAAAGCCACCACTTGGGAACATGAGTGTCTTTCTTCAGTCCGGCTGAGGCTGGGCCCCGGGCCCGCTCTGCGGAGGAGACTGAGGCACAGGCGGGGAGGGCGCAGGGTTAGGAAGAATGCCTGAGAATCAGCTCCCGATGAGAAACAAGACGCCTGTGGGTGGCTCTGCTGGCAGATGCCGGGTGTCACCCACTGGGACGCTGCTTGGCTTCCCAAGATGACAGCTGTGTGCACCACCCCCTCTTCTCCACTACCAAACACCAGACACGGAACAGGGGTCACACATCTCGTGAGCTGGGTGGGATGTGATTGCAATGGTGGGGACACCAAATGCCTCTGAGAAGAGCCCAAACCCCAGGGACACACAGGAAACCCCTTTCCTTGGCACTGACAGTCACAGCTTCTGTCCTGAACACAGTGCTGACTTACAAATGTAAAAACGAAAGCCCGCCCCCATTCTGGGCGGAAGGCAGGGGCTAAAACATGCAGAAGGGCTTCTGCCTCTGTGGTCCTCTCTGGGAGGCTAGGGGCGCGGTGTGGGGCGGGGATGGGGGGGATGGGAGGGTGAGAGGGTGGGGGGAAACGACGCATCTGACCGAAGGCAGGAAGGAGCCAAGGCAGAAGCTCCCCCAGGGCCCCGGAGGCGGGGCGGAGGGGAGGAGAAACAACTGAAACACCATGGCTGCCTCTGCTCGGCACAGCCCACCCCAGCGACCCCACTGCCCCTCCCGCACAGGAGGGCACCCAGAAACCACCTGCTGGCAACCTCACCTGCGCTAGGGAGCCAGATTGCTTTCACAAGTTGATGCGCATTATAAATATAAAATCATATCTGCTACAAAGAGGACATATATTTGTACATCTTTACCCATATACATAATAACACAATTTACACATAATATCTTGGAGTGGGTCATCAAGGAAAAGGATTTGGAGAGGTAAAAAGACCTTCTTCCTCCCCTGCCCTGTCCTTCTCAAGGGACGCTTGTACACGTGGCCGCTGGGCCTTTCCCAGCCGGCGTGATGGGCTAGTCTGGACAAAGAAGTGCAGACAGGTAACGAAATGCCGAGTGGGCATACCCACCATGAACACAAACGACGCTCACGTAGTAGTGAGAAAAGGAAAAATAAAATCCCTAGCCCTGGGTACAGGCTCTGCCCAGAGTTATAAGCATCAGTGTCTCCTCCATCTGGGAACAATGGTCTTAAAAAGCCGCCCCTCACTGGCTCAGCCCAGGGCAGCAGGCGAAGGGCTAGGAACTGTGGACAGGGCAGAGGGGCTAGGAGTATTTGGAAAACATAAGGCGTTTCTGACCTGTGATCAAATCAAACGATGTCACAAAAAGCAACAATATCAGTTGGGGCTGGGAGGCAAGAGACAGCAAGTCCAATGTGAGTTAAGACCCTGAGCCTTCCCCTTGGTTTCTCCAGTTTCTTTGAAAGGGGCAGACAACCCTGTACCTCTTTCCAGTCCTCTCCCAGAGCTGGCCCATGCCCGTGCATGGAATACTGACAGCGGTCCAGGAGACCCGTCCAGAGACGTGGAGTGGTGGGTAGGCACGCCAGAAAGTTAAGACCTGGGCGGCGGATGAGAGCTTTTTACAGCAGGAGTGGTTCCTGGTCCTCCACGGCTCGCACAGTGGCCACAGGGATCAGATTGCCATCGGAGATGGGGGCAGTCTGGGTCCCCACGGGGAGATAGCACCTATCGGCGGTAGTGATTGGGGGCGTCGGCGAACATGTACTTGAGCCGGTACGCCTCGGCGAGGAGCAGCCCGATCTCTTCGTTGCCCCAGTGTATCGTAGGTAGGTTTTGTAGCAGCATGAGGAGACCCTGAAACGCAAGAAAGGACTTTTCTCAGCCCGGGACCAGAGCAATGGACCAGCAGGCCCTGACGGTTTCCTTCTCGGTCCCACATCCTAACGGGCGGGGCCTCCCTCCTCCCAAGCAGCACACGGACCTCCTGCCCTAGGAGGCATTGAAAAGCCTCTGCTGATTTTCCAATCCACCAACACCTGCCTCTTTAAAGATGTTATAAATAGAGAATGACAATAGTAAATAAGGATATTTTAAAAAGAAAAATAATTACCCAAACATCTCCCTAATTTTTAAAGTATTCCTTATTAGTCTTTTCACATGCATAGTTCTTTAAATAGTTGTAATCATAACTAGGATTTTATATATACATATTTTATTTGTAATTATCATGTTTTTCCATGCAGCCTTCAGAAATGATTATATTCAATATTAGTATTGTCATGTAGCTATACTAATTTACTCAACCACTTTCCTTTTGTTAGGAACTTAATTTGCTTCCTTTAAAAGAAAACAAAAGCATTTACTAGCATAGGCGACTGCTACATATCCTTCTGCATGGCCACTTTTCTCACAATACAATGGTACTTGCAATCATCCTATTCCTCCGCCCTGTTCTCCAAGACCATCCCCACCCATCTTCTTTTAAAACTCCACCCATCTAAACTCTATTATTTTTCTTTTTTTAAAAAATATATATTTTATTAATTTTTTACAGAGAGGAAGGGAGATAGAGAACTAGAAACGTCGATGAAAGAGAAACATCGACCAGCTGCCTCTTGCACACCCCCTATTGGGGATGTGCCCACAACCAATGTACATGCCCTTGACCGGAATCAAACCTGGGACCTTTCAGTCCGCAGACTGACGCTCTACCACTGAGCCAAACCGGTTTCGGCTAAACTCTATTATTTTTCAAAGCATAGTTTCCTCAAACAGCTCAGGGAGACCACTGTTAAAGAAGTTGGAATAAAAATGAATGTGAGATTTTAGGTTCTCTTGGTAGTTACCCATGCTCTTGCTGCTGCTTCAAGTTCTTTCTGTCTCTCTTTCTGAACTGGATATTTTTGTTATTTTTCTGATAATGAAAGTAATTATAACAAGACACAACCCCAGAGCCATAAACATACTGAGATTTGATTACATATATTGTAATTATAAAAACCTTAATGTGTCAAGAGGCACCAAAAATCCTATATAATAAAGAAGTAATATGCAAATTGACCATCACTCCAACACACAAGATGGCCCCCACAAGATGGCCAGCAAGTGAGAGCAGTTGTGGGTGATCAGGCCAGCAGGGGAGGGCAGTTAGGAGGGACCAGGCCAGCAGGGGAGGGCAGTTAGGAGGGACCAGGCCTGCAAGGGAGGGAGGGTTGGAGGTGACCAGGCCTTCAGGGGAGGGAAGTTGGGGGGTTCCAGGCCTGCAGGGGAGAATAGTTAGGAGTAACCAAGCTGACGAGAAGGGCAATTAGGGGTGACCAGGCTGGCAGGGGAGGGCAGATGGGGGGTACCAGGCCTGCAGGGGAGGGCAGTTGGGGGAAACCAGGCCAGCAGGGGAGAATAGTTAGGAGTGACCAGGCTGGCAGGGGAGGGAAGTTAGGGGCAATCAGGCTGGCAGGCAGAAGTGGTTAGGGTCAATCAGGCAGCCAAGCAGGAAAGTAGTTGGGGGTCAGCAGTCCTGGATTGTGAGAGGGATGTCCCAGACTGAAGAGGGTGCAGGTTGGGCTGAGGGACACCCCCCGCCTGTACACGAATTTTGTGCACTGAGCTTCTAATAAAGTATAAGAAACTAACTATAAGGAAATATGCATAACATCTGTAAAAGACGGAAGGTTACTATCCATAATCAAAGAATGCCTACATATCAGCAGGAAAATAGACAAATGGCTGGGCGCTGCACCCAGCAATGCTCAGAGTGCTGATGGCCCACCCACAGGCATTGCTTAGCAATGTTTCATAGTGTACAGGTCTTGCCTGTCTTTGAGAGATTTCTTCTTTCAGCAACAGAAACTTAGCTGCCTTGATCATACTGTCCATGCATCACTGCAACGTATGGCCAATATGATGAAGTTCTGACTAATTCTGGGTTCTGCCCTAAACTCTCCTTCTTTCTCCCCTTCCTGGAAAATGAGTACAAACACAGGAGTAGAAGCAGTCACCTCAGACCCTGAGGTTTCAGAGCCACGTGTTGAAGATGGTAGAGCAACACGCCAGAGGAGGCCTGGAGCCCTCGTGTTAGCTTTGGGCTGCTTATACTTAGACGGTGAGTCAAAGAAGAGTAAACAACTATCTTGTTTTAAGCCACTGTTTTTCTAAGGTTTCGGTTACAGGACAGTTTATATCATCTTAACAAATACAGGCCGTGTATAACAAAGTCAGAAACACACATGGTGCTTGATCTGGGACTCCATGTCTGGGTCCCTCCCTTCAGGAAATATTCACACTCCTGTATAAAGGTCTTCACTGCATCACAGCTCCCAAAAGCTGGAATGGCACCAGTGAAGTCTCCTTCCGGATGGGAATAGTTAGATAAACTGTGGCTATCCATATAATGAAATACAAGACAGCACCTGTAACAAATGAAGTAGGATTTCATGCACCAAGGTGAAAAATAGGTAAGATTTATAGGAAGAAAAAAAGAGTAAGTTGTAGGAAAATACGTATAATGTAGCATTACTTAGGTATTGGGAAAACAGAATATATCTATAATTTATATATGTATATATGTGTATAAGAACTTCAGAAAACCTACATTGGTGTATACAAACTTTAGGGGCTAGGCAGTTACTTTTGGGGAAGTGAGACTTTCACTTTCTCATTATACTTCTCTGTCTTTCAAGCCTTTTGTTTTCAATTTTTACAATAAAGTCTTAATACACGTTCTGTGGAAGTTTTGTTTAAAAAGTAAAAAAGCAGAAAATAAAATACCCATAACTTCATAATCAAGAGGAAGCTATTTTGAAATGTTTTGGCATATTTCCTTCCAGTCCTTTTTCTGCACATTTTACACAGTTGAAATATGCAATGTTGAATTTTACACAGTTTCTCTATGCAATGTTGAATCTATTTAGCATTTATCATAAGCATTTCCTCTAATATTAAGACATTCTCAATGGCCAAATAATTTCCCATGATGCAGATGTACCATCATTTATTCTACACCTTCCTGTTTAGAGCACTTGATTATTTCTGTTTTTTTCACTATAATGAAATTATAATGAACAGCCTTATGCATAAAGCCATATTTTAGACTATTTTCTTGGGCTAAAGTCCTAGGAATGAAATTACTATGTCAGAGGGCATGAATATTTTAAAAGTACTTAACACTCATCCAGAAAACCCATTCCAGAAAAATGCTCATTTCCCAGATCTCCACCAGCACTGAATACTATCATCAAACAAACTTTGTTAATTGTAACTCTGTCCCTGAGATCTCCGAACCTGAGAAGAAAACCTGAAGCCTTAAGTCAAAATGGTAGTGAACCCACAGGAGGAACAAGAGAAAGCAATCAGTCTACCTGTTTCTCTAGCTGCCCATACTCTTCCCACCAATTTGTGTCTTTTTTAAAAATATATATTTTATTTTTATTTTTAATATATTTTATTGATTTTTTACAGAGAGGAAGGGAGAGGGATAGAGAGCTAGAAACATCGATGAGAGAGATTCATCGATCAACTGCCTCTTGCACACCTCCTACTGGGGATGTGCCCGCAGCCCAGGTACATGCCCTTGACCGGAATCAAAACTGGGACCCTTCAGTCCGTAGGCCGACGCTCTATCCACTGAGCCAAACTGGCTAGGGTGCAATCCTATTTCTTGAGGACATACTTCACTGACTCCGAACCAGCCCTGAGTGAAGGAATGGTATTTGCTTACCCTCACCCAGAACACAGGCACCAGGAGGCCTGGAGACTCAATGAGACCCTTAGGGAGTCCAGCGTTTGTCCCACTTGCCATCCAACCAGTGTAAGAGCTTAAGCAAATGCAGGAACTCTTAGAAACACATGGGTCCAAGCCTCACTTCTGGAGTTTTGGATTCTAAAGACATATGATGGGATCCGGCAACCCATACTTTTCACAAACGTCTCCAATGATTCCAACAGGCAACCAGGTTTGGGGTTCCACTAGAGCCGTGGTCGGCAACCTGCAGCTCGAGAGCCACATGCGGCTCTTTGGCCCCTTGAGTGTGGCTCTTCCACAAAATACCACGGCCTGGGCGAGTCTATTTTGAAGAAGTGGCATTAAAAGAAGTTTAAGTTTAAAAAATTTGGCTCTCAAAAGAAATTTCAAACGTTGTACTGTTGATATTTGGCTCTGTTGACTAATGAGTTTGCTGACCACTGCACTAGAGGTATTAAAAAGCTCTTGATAGAATAAAAGCACACTTGAGATTAAGGAAGGCAACCCCTAAATCACAAAGAGTGACCTTTCATTAAATAAATGAAGGTAAATCCATAAAACAAAATACCCGGAAGCCAAATTATTCATGTTTTCAAAATTTTTGCATAAGCATGTACTCATGTAATGTGTAAAAAAATACAAATTTGGGGAAATTATGTATATCTATACTTTTTGACATTATAGAACACTATATTGTATAAAGTGGTAAATAGAGGTTACAGAACAAAGTACACAAAATGATTTAATTAACAGTTACATACATACAATATGTATTTATTCATATAGATTTGAATAATGAAATGCCTAGGAGGAAATTTATATATCACCTTTGTGTGGTAAGATTTCAGGTACCTCTTTTTTTTCTTTTTACATACTGGTATTTTAAATTTTTCTATAGTGGTTACATACACATACAGCTGACAAACAGACTATTCTTCGCTGGGATAAGAGCTACCAATAATTTCCAGTTCTTCTAGCCTTGGTAGAAACCTCCAGAAACCTGGAAATAATTCCACCCCTTCCCAGTAGTCTTCCCTCCGGAGACTAGTTTCACACTCCTCACCTCCCCCAAGGCAGTGAGGCTTAGGTGTGAGGAACCACTCTGCCACCTGGT